ACGAAGGGTGGCTTTCGTAAGAAGCCTTTCAACGTCCTGAGTGGCCTAGCCAGTCTCACAACGATCTCACCCCTAGAAAAATCTTTGGAGGAGTTGAAAGTCCTGTGGGTTTCCCAGCGCACCCAAACATCACTGCTCTAGAGGAAATTGCCAAGGGGCAATTGGGCCAAATACCAGCCACAGTGTTGTGAACACTTGTGAAGACTTACAGAACGTTTACCCTCTGTTCTGCCACAAGGGTATATAACAAGTATTGAGATGAACTTTTGTTATTGGACCAATACTTATTTTCCACAATAATTTGCAAATATATTCTTTAAATCAGACAAATGTTGATTTTCTGATTTATTTTTTTCTCATTTGTCCTCATAGTTGAGTATACCTAGGATGAATATTACAGGCCTCTCATCTTTTTAAGTGGGAGAACTTGCACAATTGGTGGCTGACTAAATCCTTTTTTTCCCCCACTGTATCTCTATCATCATAATCAATCCCAATAACAGGACTGGCCAAGAAACAGACTAATACAATCTTATAACATGTTGCTTTTAGGCTTTTTAAAAATATATTAACAGTAAGAGTAGAGCTGCAACAGTTACTTAATTAATCGATTAGACAATCAACACAGCTATTTTGATATCGGATTTAATGTCAGGTCATCTTTTGAGGTAAAACTCAATACATCGTTAACACTTTGAATTCCTTTGGGTTTCGGAGTGTTGGCCAGACAAACAAAAAGTATGAAAGAGTCACGTCTGGCTCTAAAAAAAGTCATATTAAAGCAACAATAGTTGTCAGCTCTAAGTGAGTAAATGTGTGTCAGTCAATGGCGGCCCTACCTTCTTATACGTCGTCTCCCCCGTGGTGTCAATTCCTCGATGGCCGATGGTTTTTTTCATGGCCGGAGACATGGTGGTGATGGGACTCTGTTGGTAGAAACAAGGTGGAAATGAGAATTACGAGAGGAAAATCACTCAAATGTAATATTCTGTACTTTGTTCAAAGAGGAAGGAATAGATGATGTGTCAGCCGAAAATCTGTAAATATGAACGCAATGTGGGTTTCCTAATTGACACATAGCTAGATTACGCATTTCCTACCAACAAATCAGTTATTTCTTACCTCCGGAGGCGCATTTTTTCGAGTCGCAGCCGAAACTGAAGTGAAAAAGGGAAGGAGCAAACATTTTAGAAATGAATACACAAAAAGGAATAGAAAATAGGTAATTCGACAAATGCAATCTCACACTGGATGCATAAATATCACACAGAAAAGCCTGAAACAGCATCTACCATTTCAACTACTGTGGAAAACAAAGGGTGCAGCTTTGAAACAAGCATGCAGACGCACCTCGTTTACATTACCTCTGAGAGAAGACAGTCTCCTCCAGAACTGAGTCTGCAGGTCTTTGCGTGCAATGGGAGGAATTAGATAAGTATGCTATTACTATTAAATTGGGTTCAAACAAGGCTAATGAATGCTAAAGTCGATAGGTAGGTTTCTGGGAGTCCAAAGTCAACATTAGCCCTAAATAGTTTAATTTTATATTTTAAGAATAAGCAAAATGTTGTGACTGTGTTTGCATCGGTTAATTATTTACAGCGAAATTCTGTCATGTTACACTTTAAGGAGAAAATTGTGGTAAAGTCCTTAAACACTTAATTAGACAAGAAAAACAACATTTGCTGAGTTAACGTTTTTGCTAAATTGCCCTATGTCCTGCAGCTTATCTCCACTCACTTGGTTTTTGGTACACCTGGTTAAAGCTAATGGAGTCTCTGTGCTAATTATTTTGACAACAACAGATTAGAGCTGCAATGATGAGCTGATCGACAGAAAAATAATTACTAAATATTGAGAGTTCCTTCTTTTATCGGTTTTATATCATAATAAACTGAATATTGTTAGTTTCAGCACAACTGAAAAAGTATTGGTGGCTTTAGATTAAGCTAGGTATGTCTTATTACCTGGAAACCAAGATACAACACAACAATGGAAATCATTTGAGAATTACCGTTATTAGGGTTACACAGGTTGTGTGTTAAACTAGGAAGATACATGTTTGCATTGTGACATCTAGGTTAATTAACCACCTTGGTAACTAACTTACTAACTAATAAAATGTTGGCATGCCCAAACATGTTTGTCCAAAGAAATCCATAACCCGAGCCGATGTCCATGTATCTGCCTATGTAAGTGAATGACTCATCTCAAAAGGGTTCATCCTTATGTTCCCGAGGGTCCAACACCGTTTCTAATTATGGTTTGAAAGAGGAAACACGATCATGGTAAGTTGAACCTTGTGAAATGACGTTGCACCAGAGCTACGTCCTCTCAAAGTTGTACTGTTGCTTTTTTCTATTTTGAGTTGGTCTAGCCTTGTGTTGAGTTTTAGGCATGTCTGTGTCTCATGACATGATCTCACACTGTAAGAGACTGGTGGTGAATGATACCTATCTTAAGAGTTAAAATTGCAAAGGAACAAAGGGAAGAGTTGATTATTCAAATCCAGGTTGTCTGGTAAAAAACTAATCAATCAGATCACTTTGGACATATCAACGTTTAAAGTCAAGAAAACTAACATGCCTGTAAATCTGATGGCATCGGATAGTACCAAATCAGTTGGCTATAAGCTGTATGTGGATGGTTGTGACGTATTGACAAATGGAAACATACATTAAACATTGTACCTATGGAAAAAAGTATTGCTGAGAACATAAAACCTTAATGTCATATTAAGAGGATATTGAGCTGTAGAACATAGGACCCTGGTAGACATTGGTTAGCTTACGTGTCAGATACATCTGGTATATTCCTTCTAATAAAAAGGTAGTGTATAACTTTTTAATAAAACAGTACTTACTGCCAGAGATGCCAGGCAGCCCTGGAGGCTCCTCTGCAGCTGTGGCCATTCAGACCAGAAGCTGAACCTAGACTTGGTTGTGGTGAAACTCAGATCCTGGCTCCCTCCTGGACATCAAACGTATTCAGTTTCTCTGTGTTAGCACGTCAGTTAGCTGGGGATCTGTGTAGACAAAAAGTAGCTACTTAACAAAAACACCTCAGATGACTTAATGCCCCAAATATTGACAGCAGCCACATTGGCTCTGCTGATGGGGGATTTGAAAATAAACAGGACAGGAGAGTTACCGTGAATAATGGAAATAAAGCTGAAGAAACGTTAAATGGAAGGATTCAGTGGATGCTACAACGAGCTAGCAAGAACTTTCTGAGGAGTCTGGATTACGACATTTAACATAACGAAGCCAGAAGCTAAATTAGCTGCTAACTCTGATTAAACTTTTCTAACTTTAGCCAAGCTAGTCAGGCTCATGACTAACTAACAAACACACGAACAGAAAGCCAACTCACTCAGAAAGGTTGTGGAGAATTACTCGCCGTTTCCAAAGACAGAATAAATACACTTCTTACTCTTCTGAAGGCACTATTTCACCTAAAACTAATAAACAAGGAAGCAGTGCGGAAGCGGCAGTTTGGTGTTCTGTTCTCTTCCACAAAGAAATAATATAATTTCCGGTGAAATTAGTTTCAGAATAAAACAGAATGTGCCTAGCAAACCGAAAAAATAGATGTATCGTACCAGCTAAACAAATATAGACAGAGGTGGAAATACTACAGTGTTAAAATACTTTGATACAACCAAAAGCCCTGCATGCAAAATCTTACCTGAGTACAAAAGCTAGTAGAATAAAATGGAAAAACTTAAGTAAAGTATAAGTACCTTAATGTCGTATTGAAGTACTGTACAGTACTTGAGTAATTGTACTTTAACATTACACCACTGAATATAGATATATGTATGTAGCCGTATGTAGTTAAATACTCAAGTAGGTATTTAGATCCATTAATAGAGTCCAAGTAGCCATTAGAACTGAAGCAAATAGTCGAGATATCTACAGATCAGCGTTTCCCTGTTTTACCAAACCAAAGATTAAGCAGTAACTGATTCAGAAAAATTAAATGCATAATTACCTAAAAGTACAATTACCTAAATGTGTACTTAACTAATTGTTTATTTCATTTCACTCACCATTGCAATACTGTTGATACACTGACAACAACGTGACTAATTTCACAACACAAATGTGCCAATTATACTACTATGCAACTTTTATTTAGTTTTTATATATTTCTTAATTTGTTCTGCTATCATCACAACTGTTTTCCTACTCTCAAGGATGATCTGTTCTGATTCTGAATGATCCACAATTATTTTGAAGCACAACCGGAAATGATCTGGTCTTTCGTTTGTTGGCCTGGAGCAAATTAACAGTTCAAATACAAAAACATACTGTACACATTTAAATATCTCATTCAAACAGTTTTAAGATGTTTTATTATGTTTATTTGTGAATTTTGCTCCAGCTATTCAGGCCCAGCAGCACTTCCAAACTGTTTTTTAGTGATCACAGATCTGTGAATGTCCCACACCCCTATGTGTTTCATTACAGGAAACGGTGACCCCTGGTGGGCAATTTGTAAAAGGTTTAATTACATGTGGGATTTTTCTGTTACTGTGCATGACATGACCTTGTTTCAAAACTCAACTTGTTTTTTTATTTCCAGCTACCATTTGTCCCAATGTATGTCAATTCCACTATCAGTAGCTTGTTAAGTGACAAAAAAAGCAGTTGAGATCTTTTCTGTCTTCATTTAATCCTTTATTTCTCTAATAAAACAACATTACATGTCAGAAACTGTCTTATTTGAGTGTTGACTGTGAAAATGTGCAGAGAGTGCAATTCAAAAAAACATTTTCTTGTTGTGACAAAGCATGGGTAAATACAGAGATAAAATAATACTTCAGCTGTTATCACCCTACTGTCCTCCTCTCTGATAAGAATGGCGGGATACATCGCATTATACCTCTTATTATTATCTTGTACACATTTTTTTTTCTTACCCCCTAAAAGTTATACAATATGCGTTTTTTGTTTTCTTTAATACTGTATATGTTATGTTGATTATCCCTTAGCAAGCATTTGCATCAAAGGTGAATCCTGCCTCCTCAGGGACCGGGGGTGCAGTGTAGCCTGGGGTTGGGTCATAGTTTGGGTTTGGCAGCTCGCTGTTGAAGCACGTCCAGCGAGCCTCTCCTGTGTCAGCACAGCACACATATGCCACAGTCATGGTGGAAGACTCTTCAGTACAGAACTGGGTCAGGGCTTGTTTCCACTGTAAGAAAAACATTCATGGTGTCACAAAGTGGTATTTCATCTCCCCTCAAAAGCATCAGCTCAATCTGCACACATCCTCACCATTCTCTGTTCACTTTGTTAAATATATGGCTTTGTTATTGGGTGCAGAAGACTACATTACTCTATGATTTAGTAATTCTTCAAAACGTTTTCTAATGTCAACGTAAACGTATTGTCATTTGTATTTTAATCTGCTACTCATGCTGAATCTCTGAGGCCTTTTGTTCACCATGTAGCTATCTTTAAGAATAGGCAACTGGCATAAATATAACCTGTTCCTGAATTATGTTTTAAATCAACAGTTTTCATTGTTACATTATATCAATTATGTTTTTCGTGTTATGATTTGATTTGAAAAGAAACATCTTTTTTTGTAAATCTTCAGAAATCTTCATAAATACAGAAAGTATTTTCTATAAAAAAGACATGTACATGAGGACATTTAAACATTTAATATTATATTCCCTGATGAAAAACTAAGAGTTCTAAGTGTAGTTGTGCTTGTTAAAGCAGGGGAAACATTTTACAAAATGCATTTATCATAGTAGTTTTTGTTTTGAGGTTCAAATATTTTATAACATTCGAATTGGAATCTGAATTATATTTCATATTTAATCCAAAAGCTGATATATCTAGCTAAGAGTCAGGTTTCCTCTGCATACATATATTTATAAATACCTATGTAATATCATTTCACCCCCACACACACACTCACAGCTTGTTGTGTGCAGCAGAGGATCTGGTCCTCCTGTCCTCTGCAGCACAGACTGAACCACGACTCCATACGGTTGATGGCATTTCCACGGCGACGGAAGTGACTGACCCCGGAGTTTGGGAAGAAGCTGGACAGGTATCTGGGACGACCCTGACCCTGTAGGCAGACAGCAGCAAGGTTCTCCACTGTGGGAAATGCAGGCGGGAAAGGCACGTCAGGCTCATTCAGAGAGTTTTTCTTGGTCTCTGTGGGAAAAGATGCACAAAAGTTAACAGCATTGCAATTTGAAGAGGACATTAAGTATAAATGCTTGAATAATCTTAAAGCAAATACCTCCCACATCTGCACCATGGAGGGTCAGCAGTGCGAGTATCCAAAATCCTGAGAGGCCTACAATCGAAATCATAGCTGTATGGTAGCAGGAGCTTTAATTTAGAAATTTCTCTCCAACAAGCTGCTTGTGGTATTGTGACCTGAACGTTACCAGCTTATATGGAGAAGGGGACTGAGTCGGTGGGCGTGAAATGCTTGGAAGTGGGGGTGTAAGAGATAAAGGGAAATGGTGTGTATGTTTGAGTGTGCTTGTGGGGGTAACACAATGTCATGTCCTGTCAAGATAAAAACTTATTGAGTTTGAACCTTGGTGATATCTGCTGATACAGACAACATAACAATTTGTTCTCAAAAGTCTGCATTCGTAAGGGAAATAAATAATCCAGGGCCCTGATAATACATGTCGTAATAAGCCCTTTTCACAGTAGAAATGTTGACTTGTTATTCGAGGAAAAAAACATTCTACCAAAGTTAAAATTAAAATAAGTGTCTGTTAATCTACTTGATGGTTTTGTGGTTTGGAGTGAGAGGGAACAACTTGTTGAAAGTTGTCCAACTTGTCTTTCATGGCCAAAAGTCATTCCGAATGTAAAGCCAGTGGTGCCTTCAGGTGTTTAACAATGCTGGAGCATAACTTTCTTCGCAAGTCCGTGGACAACATGTTTTCTTTGATCTGTTGTGTGAAAAGAGGAGTGTGAAATACAATAACAGACTTATTATTTTGGAAAATAAAAAAGTCCTCCCAGTATTAGGTAATCTTTGAATAGCAGTCCAAGCTATGGTTCAAGGTGCCCTCAGTAGAATAACATTCATAACATTGTGATCATACCTCAGGCAAAATGCTGCTGTGGAGTTTCCTTTCTGAGTAATACAGTCTGTGCTGCTACTTAAAGGGGACCTATCATGCAAAATGCACTGTTGTGGATATTTTAAACTCGTCAATACTGTAAAGATGTACAATGAGAGTAATCAATGATAAACTGGTGAAAGCAGGCGGCGTTGTCTTCTGGTTATTTATTTGAAGCTTCAAAGGAACATGTCTCACAGAGTACAGAGTAGTCTGCAGGAGTGTGCGCAATAGTCACAAAATAGCAAAGCTTATATACAAGATAGGGCGGGCAGACAAAGTTTTGTGTAGCATGGCGGAACGCCTCAGAAATCCACTTTCACACGGTCTCATATCGCTATTTGGACACCTGTGTCCTTGAGCCATAGAAAGTACAACAGTCATCAAAATATGGAAGTTCAAACTTAGTGTGAAAAGGAGTAGTTTCAACATAGTCTGTCAAATCAGCCCTGTGGCCTTGAAGCGCTTGAGAATAATAAACCTCATTAGAGTATGCAGAGGAAACAGCAAAGATGAAGAAATGGTACAGTAGTGTTAGACAATGCTTTCAGAAGCATTTGGTTTTAGCATATAAGGTAAAACAAGAAATTGCCACTACAGCACTTTTGTACGTCTTTTATACATGAATATGTGTCCCCGGTGTTTCAGGGAACTCACCAAGTGTCAGAAAACACAACCCTCTCTCTTTTCCTCCATACCCAAATCTCTAAAAACGGGGTTGCAACGGAGCTGATACAGATTTGAAATTGTTCTGACCTCAGAAACAGGGAGCTCCGCCTATATGCCAATATGGGCAACTCAAGAGGAGCACATCCGTACAAACTCACTTGAGAGGTGAATGAAATGGTTTGTTAGTAGAAAAAAAATATAAAGTGAAGGGATTATATGGAACAATGGTGAGACGCAATAACTTACGTACAAGGTGTACAGAAGGGAAGGAGACTTATTAGTAGGAGATAGTACAAAATTGGTAACGAGGAACAATGTAAAACGCGGAAAAGTTAAAGAGGGGTAAAATAGTACTCAAGTAAAGAGGTCTTAGAAAAAGGACGCCGACAAACAATAACTGTACACTAGTTTTGAGCGAACAGACAAAGTATCTTACAATTGCGTTTAAATTCAAAAGCGTTCAGGAGAAAAAGTTATAACGACAACGCATTCAAATAGTAGCCACAACTATTAACGGGTGGTAGGACTAAACTTAAAAGAATAAATGTATGAAAAAGGTAGAGCACAGATCAAGAAATAGGTTGTATAAACGAACCAAGACTGTGAAACTGCTAAAAACTAATAACGAAACTAATCGGAACAACGCCGGAAAGTGGGCTAGGTTAGGCTGGTGAAGAAGGGATTCGAGAAAGCTTGATAAGAGAAAAGAAGGTTTTCTAGACAGAAGAGCCGTCGAAACCTATAGTAAAGGTAAGGTATAGCAGAGAAACCGATGGTAGACTCCGACCCACTAGTACTATTCTGCTGAGTCTACATGTCAAATCGTTTAGCGGACGGTTTTTTTTTATTGTCAGGTTACATGGCAAAGCCATACATAAGGCTCAAAGGCTAGAGCGACTCAAGACAGTGCCGCAGAGGCCTGGAAGTGAAGGTGAAGCGCCGAACAAGCAGAAGGCCGAAAGCAGCAGTGACCTTCTCGGCTTAGGTCCACAGACTGTATCTTCTTAAACCAAACATAAAACGAACAAGGTGAATATCAACCGTCTACCCTGTGTACAAAACAAAAAAAAAAAAAAAAAAAAAAAAAAAAATAAAAAACAAAAAAAAAAAAAAATATAAAAAAAAAAAAAACAAAAGAACAAAAAAAAAAAAAAAAAAAAAAAAAAAAGAAGAAAATAATAAAGAAAAGAAAAAACAAACACAATAACACATAACAACTCCCATATAATACTATATACTAACCTGACTTGGTCTCAAATAATGTACCCTTAAACAAAGAACAGACGGGATGTTTTGATAATTTCCAAAGCAAGACAAACAACTTAATATTCCTAAACAGAAGTTAATACATCACAAAAAAAAAAAAAGAACACGGGTGATAAATAATAATATATAAAAAGGAAAGAACATAATAAAAAAGATATAGATAGCAAGAAGGATATAGAGAACAGATAATACAGACAGAGAAATACAGATCAACTATAAAATAACAATAAACACATGATAAAGAGTGGTTGACAGGCTTATAACGAAAAACAAAAACAAGGACTATAAAATTATTAAACAAAAAACTAAGATAAATTATTATATTACAACTGGTTACACCGTCTTTATTATATTTAACACGATTCTAATCATAAACCAGTAGTATATATAAACAGAAAAGATTACTAGAGAAAATAGAGAAAAAACAATACGAATATGATATATATATTTTATACTTATCCCATAACACTTGCATGATACGTAAAATAACAAGAGACTACAGAAGACAAAAAGATATGAAAAAACCAAAAACACTACTAGAAAGACAAATGAAAAGATGATGATAACAAGCGGAGTACACAAAAAATAAAATCCAAAAAAAAAAAGACACACAAGATACACAAAATGAAAACACACAAAAGACATATAAGACAATAAAAACTACCTAAACTAGTACGCAAACAAAAAAACATACAGTCAAGAGAAGAACATACAAACAGTCAAAAATACAAAGAGATCAAGAAACACCAAAAAGAGAAACACAAACAACATATAATATAAATACAAATAAGCATACAGATAAAAAAAAAAAAACATCGTCACAAAAAAGAGACAGAAAGACTAACAAAATACAGACTTAGAATAAAAGAAAGAGGAAAAAGAAAAACGTAGATATAATAATGAACAAAACATGATAGAAAAACCAACCCCCTAAGAAAAGTTCGTGAATCCAAGGTAAACACTGACTCGCCGCACTCTACCCAGCACTACCTCCAGCACATTGATTTCTAGATAAGAATAAATAAAAATATAAAGAAAAAAGTAAAGAAAAAGATGACGCACCTAAGATAGATTACACAAAACAAAAAATAACAAACAAAAACAAACAACAACAAAACACGGGGTACTATCTCTCACGAGAAAAAAAGGAAAAATAGAACGGAAATCTTACACAATGACGATGAAAACTTCATTTTATTCATGATTAGGGGAGAGGAGACCTCTAATAGGGACGGAAAAACTCTTCCAAAACTGACTTCTTTCTTTTTTTCAGTTAAACACAAGGGGGCTCCTTAAATAAGAATTATTGCAGCACAGAAGGAAAAAAAAAGGGCCGGGCACTTACAGCTGGTACTTGTACAAGTCAAATCGGAGGGGAGGCATTAAATGGCTTATATTATAACCGTCCAATATTCTGATAATCCACAAATTTGTCATAAGTTACTACGAAGACACACACCACACCCACACACAACACACACACACACCACACCACACCACCACCAACACACAACCACACAACACACACAAAACGCAATCGATGCAATGCTTCGTCTCAAACAACATAACACAGTTAAGTGTTCTACGTCAATACGTTCGTCATCAACAGAGTTGAGCTAGTCAACCGTAGACTACTTGTCGAATTAAGGTTAGTCATACGACACTACCCGGAACAACTGTTATAGAATCGCACAAACAGTCCCTATTTTCTGTTGGATGGGCACTATATCATATACAATTAATACATTCAACCAATGAGTGAGAAGAAGAACAAAAATGTTCATTCTTTGATATGGGGTGCGCTAACCTCCAGTTGTGAAGGAATGGGGGCAGTGGCCCTCGAGTATACGGCCGGGTATAATTTATGGGATTCTGTTCACAAAAGCTAACTGTACAAGATATACTGGCAGTTGAGCTTGTATGATTAGAGTTCTCTCTATGATCAGGACGATCCGCGGTAATGGATGAAGTAATACCCCCCAGCTATCTACTGCTACACGACGCTATCCAACAAAAGTTTGGTATAGGTTATTTAGTACGGTAAAATCCGTACGGGTAGTAAATCGAGATAAGTGTACGTAGAACAAGGTCGGGGACGGAAAAAACGTTCCCGATCTAGACACTCTTCGAGAAGGAAAGGCGACTAAACACGCCGTCTGTGTCCGCGGTGAATGTGCCAGATCCGTTGTACATTGTGTGTGTGATGTGTCGTTAGAGGTCGGGCGAAAGCTCTGTCGTTTACCGGGCACAGCCGTTGCGGGGGTAAGGGGACTATACACCTCTAACGG